TGAAATGAAAGCATTTTAGCTCAATTGCGTAGATAGAGGAAAAATTGAGACAGGTTATACCAAGAAGCGCGTTTCATAAAAATTTCGAGGATTGAAAAAAGCACCTGACCATAGTACATTAATTCCGAGGGGTATTACTTCAATAATTATTGATGAATAAATAATTTTTGAAAAAATTATTTTTCGATTTGAACTCGTAAAAATGCCGCCAAAGTATTTTCATGGTCCTAGGCACATTTTCCAGCCGCTGTGAATGGAATATGATATTCCGGGTTATTAATGGTCCAAGAATAAAATCTTCTTCATATGGGATATTTCTCTTAATATTTACCCTTTATTTTGTGACACTTATTTTACCACCCATTCTTCTAAGTAATATTTTAAAAAAAATGCCCTCGTTTTAAAACAATAATGTTAGGTACTTAATAAATCCCGAAACATTAGTGTTTTAATTCCGTGGGGTATTGATTTAAAGGGGACACAAAAAATTGAAATAACTACATTTTTTCGATCTGAACTCGTAAAAATTTCCGCCATATTTGATGTATTTTCATGGTCCTAGGAACATTTTCCAGACGCAGTGACTGTAATTTAGGATTCCGAGTTCTGGTGGGCCAATAACAATATGTTCTTCACATGGGATATTTCTTTTATTTTTACTCTTTATTTTGCTCACTTATTTCATTACCCATGTTGATGAATAAATACTTTTTGGAAAAAATTAAAATAACTATAATTTTTCGATCTGAACTCGTAAAATTTCCGCCATATTTGATGTATTTTATGGAAAAAATTTTCCAGAATGACTATAATTTTTCGATTCTGAACTTGGTGGAAATATGTTCTTCACATGGGATATTTCTTTTATTTTTACCCTTTATTTTGCTACACTTATTTTATTACCCATGTATATATTTGACTGCTTCTAAGTATGTACTTGTATTTCTATATATGCATTTACTTATATTAAATTTTTCTTTAAAATAGAAATCAAAAGGTTTTGCCTCATAAATATTTGCCAAGAGTGTGGCAATATCCGTTGTTAACACATTCGGTAGTTGTTGTTTCCACATAATAATGAAAACAAACAATTTTTTGCAAAAAAATAAAAATAGAAGAAAAAAAACTAAAAAATGTTTTCACATCATTGCGTATTTGAAAAATAAAATTCTTGCTAATTGGTTTTTGATCTTAAACCGCTGTGTAGTAGAAAAAAAAAAATAAAAAAACAAACAAATTCCTAGAAACAACCTAGACTGAGGCCAGCGAATATGCAACAATAAAACTATGGGCATACAACTAATGCCAATGTTGAACACAATAATTGAACTAGAAAATATTTTTCATTTAAATTTAAAAAAAATATATATATATATTATAATTTCTGCGTTTTTATTATTTAAAGATCAATGTCTTAAATTTCACACAATAGCCATTTCACTACCCCGCCTTTAGCACCAATTATTTATGCATAAAGGAAATGTAGTTTAATTTAAGGCCATTATATTTTCGAAAGCAATGAAGAACAAAACGTCTTGAATACCTTCCAATTTATAATGGAGCATTATTATTATTAACATACATATAACAACCACTTTGACTAGTTATTTTAGTTGTTGTGTATTGTCTTGTGGTGTATGATGCACTACAGCACACACACACATTTTGCTGTGACCACTCCAAGTTTTGTTAGACCTAATGTCTGGTTATCCTGCTTATATGAAAATGTCTGAGTTTTAAACTGATTTTATAATAATTATATTTTGCCTCCCCATGGCTCTTACACGAACACAGACACATACGTACACACACACAAACATACATTCTCGTTTTCGCCAGTTAAGAACACTGATTCCTGTGAATTCTGTGAAAATGTCTGTATGTAAAAGGTTTTGTGTCAAAGTAACCGTTATGTGAACAACAAAAGACGTTTACGAATAAATTTAAGTATATGGACAAGTGGTTGGACGTGTTAAGGTCTTAAGGAAAAAGGCGACTGTGAATTCTTTGATGAAGGAGGGAATTAACCTTGTTTAAATATATATACAATTAAATATAAATAAAATTAAAAAAATAGAAGTTTTTAAATAGTTAATTTACAATATATTTCTCTAATTATCTAACACACCTCCATCTATGTAACTTACATCCTATACATATAAAGTGTATGCATATACACATGTGTATGTACATATATGGCTACTTAAGGGCATTTATCACAAAAATGCTTGTAAGTATCCTTTTTGTGAAATTATAATTTAGATGTTTCGTTCCCTGGGTTGGTTAGCTTCTATTGTCTTATAATAACATACATATCTATATATCTGTAATATGTACATACACATAATATAGCTGTGTTGTCTCTCTGTACAAACCAACATCAAACAGTATACAATTATATTAACGTCCTTTGTAATAGTTGCTTGCTTGCTGCACTTGCCACCGGCAATATGTTAAAATATGCCGGTAAAATGTGCATCTATGTTTGTATATGTATATATATGTGTTTTCGAAAAGGAAATATAATTTTACAAAACGTGTACATCAAATGCCTTTTGTGGGAAAGATGTGTGTGTGTGTGTGCATATTTATGTATGCATACATTTTATAAGGAATAGAAATTATTTTTGTGCATACGAAACACTTGCGCAAATGATGTATGCACATATGTATGAAGGAATGTAATTTTTTCATTATTTGAAGTGTTGAAACTTAAAGAAGTGTTATGAATATTTAATATGGCTTAAATTGGTGTCTATACACCAAAAAACGGGGAAAAATAGAATAATTGGATAATTTATTTAAAAAAAATATATAAACAATATTTTTGACAAGATTTTGGTGTAAATATTAAATCTAATGGTGGGTACGTAGGTTTTTCTCCTGGCTTTCCTTTTCATTGCAAAACATAGACACAAATTATATAAAAGATTACTTTCAAGATTTTGATGTGAATATTAAATCTAATGTTGCGCAAAAACATGTGTATGCCATGGAAGCAATTGTAGGTGTGTGGATTAATTATCCATCGCTACAACAAAAATCTGCTTTGAAAAGGACTGTTCCTAGAATTGAAGACAAATGTCGAACTTTGACAAATTTGAATTTAATTCGCATATGCAAGTTTCGCATCAGGGCGGAATAAATACATGTTATAAACATACGACCTTTGTAAAGCCCAATATGCCTGATGAGCCGCTTAACCAACGGCGAAACGCGTCGCATAATGGTGGGTACTTAGGTTCTTCTCCTGGCTTTCCTTTTCATTGCAAATGTGACGGATTTTTTTATATAAAAATAATTTTAAGCACTCACTAGGGGTTTTCTCGTTCACATGGGAATCGCCCATATTGGTGGTGCAGTTACCCTTTGGCAAAAACTCACGAAAAAAACACAACAATTCGCTGGAAATTCATCGATATCTGAATGATCAAAAATTGTATTTTGTATTGAAAGAAGATCTGAAGAACATAACAAAGAATTTTCCGAAATGTAATTGAACAAAAATTGGAAGATCTGAACAAGATCACAAAAAAATATTTTTTTAAGTGGGAGTGATAACAAATGGACAATATGGACAAATCGAACATTGAGATACTTTTTAAGCAAATCCAATTAATTTTTCGCACAATACAATATTTAAGAATTCTAAAAAACTTTGTTCCCATTCACAATTCTTTTTTATATTTTTTGGAAAAAGAGTTTTGAAATTGAGGATTTTTTTCCCAAAATAATATTACGTATTTTGAGAGTTTTTATAAAATTCGAATTGTGCATATAATGAAATATATCTAAAATGTGTATTATCTTTCCTTTTAAAATATATATAAAATATATCTACAAATGTATTGCGTTTTAAAATGTGCACGACATGTTTGGCGAATTTGTTTTTCCGGGGAATATTTTGATGATATTTTATAATTTAATATCGTAACATATTTTCTAGAAATTACATTTATGCCAACATTTTCCTTTTTATAAAATTTCCATTTGATGAAATGTCCATCCCAAATAAATTATAGATCCTTAATATAAAAATATATGTCAGCTTTGTAATAATTACCAGCGTATGTGAGTTTCATGTACCCAGCAAACTGGGCAAAATTGCAAAATCTAATGATTTTGGAGAATCAAGCTCATAAAAATCTTCCTAGGAATTTTTATATAGAATTTGAAAAAAAGTGTTTTAACTAAAATTATAACACTTTTTGTCAAGGAATGTAATAAAACTAAATTCTATATACAATATATCTAATTAAAAGATATGCGAACTTCGGAAAATTTTCACAGAAGTAGCTTTTGATATTGTTGAAGATATTTCAAATCCTTTTCTTCAAAGTTAGAACTTAGCCGGTTATTTTTCTTTTGAAACTTGAAAAATTGTATTAATTACATTGGAAATGAACCCAACAAACTGGGAAAAAATTTAAAAACTTAACACTTTTTATCAAAGATTTTAATAAAAATAAATTCTAGATGCACTATATTTAAATAAAAGCTAAGCGAACATCTGCACAGAAGTAGCCTCTAATATTGTAGAAGAAGAAGAAGATTACCTATATAAAATATTTTTGGCATATGCCGAACTCACAAGCGCTTTTTTTTGAAGTTTGAAAAAGAATTTGAATTATCTTGGAAATGAGACCCAACTATTGAAAACTATTTAACACATTTTGTCCAAAAAATTTAAAAAATAACTTCTGCATACATTATCTCTAACTAAAAGCTATGCTAACATCTGGTATATAATATTGTTGAAGATAATTCAAACTCCTTAATAATATTTTTTATCATTAGGATTATACACAGAAGATGAGGACTACTGGCTTATGCCGAACTTAACCGGCTGATATTTTTTATTGTTCTTTATTAACGATTTTTTTTTTTTTTTCAAAAAATAACTAACATTTCAGAATACCCTTCAAACATAATTTCTATGTGTTTTAAAATAATTTAAATGCTATGTAATTATTTGCGGTTTAAAAAAAAAATTAACATACCTGATTAGCCGTCGGATAAGAGCCATATCCAAATTGTGTGTATGCAGCCATGTTTGTTGACAAATTTATTATTTCGTTGTTGTTGTATTAAGTAAATTATTTTATTTATTTGACAAAAAATCCAATTTGTATTTTATAATAATAATTTGAAACACAATTTTATTATGTGAAATTTTTTGACACCAAAAAATCGTTTTTTATGGAGTTTCCTTTTTTTTTTGTAATCCTTTTTTCCAGGAAGTTTGTTTATATTTTTTTGCTGTTGTTAACTCCTTTGTTGGATTTTGATGCTGAAAGATTTTCGTTTTTTTTCTTCTTTCTGGTTTTGTTTTTTTATACTTTTTATTCACTGTTAACGGATATTTCAAACAACCGGCAACATATCCAACAACAAAATGTAAAAAGACACAACTAACGAGAATCCGTTGCAAAACAAAAACAATTGTCAAGTGTCTTTATAGCATTTTTGTTCGGGTTTTAACAGCATTAAGAGATCCGTAACATTTAACCCCTCAAGCTTTTTTGTTGTCGACAATCAAATATCTCCGTTGTGAGGATAAGTAGAGCCGGGGACAAACAAAAAATGTGAAATGGCACAAAGTTAATAATGGTGTGGATGGGGTGGTGTTGTGGGCTTTATGGGATGGATGGCACACACACACACAAACGTTTGCAGGCAACAGCTACGGGCCAACGAAAAAATATAACAATTTTTGTTACAACCGTTAAGAGTTTGTATTTCGAACCTTTGACTTGTGAATGTGTGGAGTTGGAGTGATTCAAACACTTAATGGGGTCGCTGAAGTTCACAAAAAAATAATTTCACAGTGTTTTTTGTTTGTTTTTATTTTTAGCAAGTTTTATTTTGGTTTAGAATATGCCGTTTTTTCTTCTTTTTTAATTTAGGAATTGCTTAACAGTTTTGTATTTAAATCCGTGAATTTGTTTTTTTATTTTGTTATTGTTTTTAATTTTTCTCTCCTTTGTCTTTCTATAAGTTTTGAATTTTTGTTTTTAATTCTTAATTCCAATTGTATCCGAACACGAGAATATTTTTTGTTGTTGTTGTCTTATAAACTCATTGACAAAAATTTATTCCGTTCTGTCTCGTGTGTCGGACCGATGCGTACTTATTCACGTTCGAACATAAACTGGTTGTATGCCGAGTATTTTGAACAAAAAATTTGTTTGAATATCCCAGCCGAGGTAGACCTTTGTTGATGGCTGTGTGTGAGTGTGTGTGTTTATGTTTTTCGGTTTGCTTGGGTGTTTTCGTCGATGTTGTTGCTGTTGTCCGATAATGACTCAAATACACGCAATACCAAATACACAAGTGAAACAACCACTTGAAATCCAAACAAGCAAAAGGTTTTGTCAACACAACACAATACAGCACCAGTACGAAAGACAGAGACAACAATAACATGAAGGGGACAAACGAACACACAACCAAACCAACTAGTTGTTAATACGATTATAAAATATGTCTGTCCACGATTGAATGGTAACTCGCTACTTTTGTTCTCGCAATCGTTGTTCTCTGCCATTAACATTCTCTTGCTCATTTCCCCATACGAAAATGCAACATATATACTGATAACGAGTAAATTTTGAGAGAATTGTCAATTTACTCGTTGCATTTATGGAAAATAGCAACAACAAACGAATATTCCACATTTCCCCTTAATTGTATGCACTCTGCTACACTGCTATACTTCCAGTCCATTGGAAATGTCATTATGGCATTTTTCTTTGTAATTTTTTTGGCTTCTCAAAACCACAGACTTGAAGATGGTGGTGTTGCTGTTCGTTGCTGCCTCCTACTCTAACCTTAGGTGATATTGTATTGTAACATTCTGAAAAGGTGTGTAAAAAAAGTAAAAAAAAATCAATATTGAATGCCATTTCTCCTTTATAATTATTTCCGTAAATGGCCTGACTTAGTTTTATCATTTCCAGGTGTGGTTGTATTTGGTAAATCATTCGTTTAGTTTTCTGTTGGTTATTGTACACGCCTTCTTATTTGGCCGCTGTTTCGATTTGAAAGAACTTAAAATATTTCAATATTTTTAGTTTATTTCCACAAAATTCATTTATAGAAAACAAAAAAAAAAAAACAAATTAACGAGGCTGAAGGTATAGATCTCTGTGGAGCCTATTTTGGCATTAGCTAATTGAATATTAAAATGTTAATAAAAGAATGAAAGAAAATAAAAATGTTAAAATCTTTTAAGACACAAGAATTATATTAGAAAATTTCTGTGAAATCCATTATATTGTGATTGCTATATTTCAACAACAGAAGGGATTCGATTGACGAAAGTAGTATGCATAAATATTATGAAAACATAAGTAGATTTAAAAAACCACGTAATTGTTATAAAACAGAATTTTGTAATGCCTTTAATTGAATGATACATTTAGTTTTTGACTTTTTCGAAAAATTAGGAGGAAATTATACATACATATGTTTAATTTTATGTAGGAAACCCCTCAATCCCCAATTTAATTTTTCAAGATTTTCAATGGGCTGGTAAATCAATACCAATGCTTGTTAATATTTGTAACTTTACACATATATATTTGAAGATTTAAAAGAGATGAAAAATAATGTACAAACATTTTTTGTTATTGTTTTGTTGTTGTTTTTTGTAATTAAAGAAAAGTCCTTATTTTTGATGGCGGGCATGATAACTCCGAAAATTCCAACGGTGTTAGAAAGAGCACATGTCTGTCTCTCGTATAAACTAGGATTATTGACTTCTCTCCAAAATTAACAAAATGGTGGACCTTTGAAAAAAATATTTTTGAAAATCGCCGATTTTTTACCCAAAAACCAAGTTAAAAAATAAGGAAGATCTTCACCGATTGGCTTTATCCTAGTTCATACGATAGCTATACACTCACAGAGAAACGTGTAAAAATTTGGAATCGATTGGGTCATTAGTTTTTGAGTTATCGTGCCCGCCATTCACAAAAGAGAAAAACGCGTTTAAAGTTTGAGAAGCCCTTTAGCCGTCACTTGATGCTGACACAATAAATCGGCTATATCTTCAAGAGTTCTGGAGATTTTCTCTTGAAATTTTGTAGGGACATTCTTGAATTAGTGTAGATTCGAATTAAATCAAAAAAATTTTTGACCCAGAGAATGGGGGGTGTCCCCTTAAAAAATATAACTCAATTTAGGTTATTTCAAATTGTCGGCAATTTAAGTGAATTTTTCCCATTAAATTTTATTAAGGTTCATCTGTTTCGAAATTTTGCCTATTTTATTATCTTGGTCCAATAAACAATATATAATAAATAAAAATATATATTTGCTTGATTTGATTATAATTGAATATTAATTTATATTAAATGTCATTAAAGAAGTTGTTACCTATATTATATGAAAAAGCGATAATTTTTATTAAATAATTTAATTTATAAAACGTATTGCCGACTTTAGTAAACTCGTGTGAATAATTGAATGACATCAAAAAATCCATTGTAATTTTTTTTATTATTCCCAATTTGAAGCTAATATTTATTAATAACTAGCGGGCTCGGCGAACGTTGTCTTGAATAGCAATAATGTGGATGTATAATTCACATAACGATAACCCAATATCAAATTAGCTTTTTCTACCCTCCACGATTGAAATTTAGACATACATTGCTACTACTCCTAGGATATTTGGTATTGAAAAGTTTCAAAGTTTCACAATTTAGGGTAGCACACATATACAGCCATATACAGCCATATATGGGAGCTACGCAATATGAGACTTTTTTATTTTTTTTTCAACAGAATTGGTTGTAATTGAGCAGAAAGTGTACGTACCAAATATTATCAATATTGGCACATGTTTCGGGGTACCGCCCATATAATTGTAGCCCTAAGCATTCCGTATTTTGAAGATTTTGGGTAAGGTTTTCATATTATCAATATTTACCCAAGTATCGGGGTAACCCCTTAATATTTTGGTCACGGTTGGTCACGGGTTTCATCATAATCTCTTATGTGGTGTAAAATCTTCTACCAACAATTGATATATCTCCTTCCCATTGTAGTAGCTAAAATGAGGGGGTGTGGGTGAGACACATTTTTACGAATAATTATTTAGGTCCAAGTTTTGATATAGCAATACATATCGGCCTCGCCCCATTTTCGGTATTATAATTGTGAAAAAAGCATCACCCCAGAATGTATGCAATATAGCTAATCGTTTTAAAAAGACGCCATAATTATTTTCCGTTCAATTTTCGGTATGTTGAAGTTCTTACCCCCGTTTTCCAAACTGAGTGTTATCGGTACTTGGCATGTTCAATACGAATAGGTAACATCGGGCGGAGGTTTTGGTATATCCTTCAAGTTAGATATTATGTCTTGGCTATTTTTTCTAATATTGCTGGGTTTTTGTTAGTTGTTCTCTTTTCAGCTGAGCTTAATGATAGAATTTTGCAAAGAAAATATCTCGTATATAGTTTTCTCTGTGATACACTGAATGGAAGCGAACTCGTTTCAGAATGTCTTCTGATTTTTGCATCCTTGCATTAGTCCCAAAATGTACGTTCATTCTATGGAAAACGTGTACATTCAACGATATACTTCTCTTATATTTTTTTATTCTCCCAAAATAAATTTTTCAATACAATGTCAATCCAATTGAAAAAATTTAATAATTTGAAAATGTTCAATAATTGACAAATGCAGGCTTAAAGGAATGATACGCCAAAATTTTTCGCCCAAAATATCTCAAAATAACAACTAAGACGTGGTGCTATCAAAATAGCTCGCTATTAAATTCGTGGAAATAGAAATAGGCTGCATAATATTTTTTGCAATTTTTTCGCGACCTCCCTAGACCTCCAAGAACATTTCAAGACCGAGATCAGATAAATCCGTTCAGCCGTTCCCGAGTTTTAGCGAGAGTAAGGAACAGCAATTCATTTTTATATATATATAGAAAATAGATTGGCAGCCGTGGTGAAAACGCTTCATTGATACAAAAGCTAAATTGTTGGTTAATAATTGAACTTTGCTTGATGGATTTTATTATTGGAAATTTTAATTAGTAGGGGAGA